AAGTACTCTTAAAAATACACCAAAAAAGTCAAACAATACTACAGAAACAGTCCCCAGACTGTGTTGTGGTGTATCTTTTTATTTTGGTCGAAAATCCCCCCGTAGGGGGACACGCCCGACTTAATCCCAGGTCAGAAAATACTAAACAAATAGCCCCCAGACTATGTTCGGGCTATGTTTTGATTATTTTTGTGGTGTATTGTTCTATTTTTCGTCGAAAATCCATCCCCCTGTAGGGGGACACGCCCGACTTAACCCCAGACGGGTGACAACTCGACGTCGCAGACGTGGCGCGCGCCGCAGCGGCCCCGTCGTCGCGCCCGCGGTCGCCTCGACGGCCTCGGGAGGAGCTGCGCGACCGGCGGCAGCCCGCAGCGACGCTCGCGCTTGCAAGTGCCGTGTGGGTGCTCGAGGAATGGATGTGGGCCCGCAGTGACGCGCGAGCTGATGCTGATGATGATGATGCTGAGGCTGATGCTGATGCTGATGCTGATGAAGATGACGATGAAGATGAAGATGCTGATGATGCTGATGAGGAAGATGACGATGATGATGATGATGCTGGTGATGCTGATGATGATGATGATGATGAAGAAGAATATGATGATGATAACGATTTGGTGATGACGCTGTGCTGTTGATGGTGATGGTGGTGACGATGATGATGCTTATGGTGAAGATAAGTATGGTGATGGTGATGGTGATGGTGATGATGATGATGATGATGGTGATGATGATGATGATGCTGACGATGATGATGACGCTGACGCTGACGATGATGATGATGATGATGATGATGATGATGATGATGATGATGATGATGATGATGATGATGATGATGGTGGTGGTCACGGCTATGTTGGGAGTAGCGAGCGAGCGAGCCCCGGTACCGTCCCGCGCGTGCACGGGGAACGCCTCCTAGGGAGGCCGGCGGCGGGGCCAGAGCCCCCCATGGGTGGCACGAGTGGCCCGTCCAACGTCTCCGCGGGCCGCGCGGACGGCGAAGTGCACGTTGGCACAGCTCCGGCTCTCAGAGACGAGCCTCGTGATTCTCTTTTGTTGGGCGCCCGAGTTATCCGGGGTAACTCGGGTCCGGGGTAACTCGGGTTTGGATTCCCGAAAAAGGAACCCGAGTTAGCCCTGACCCGAGTTACCCCTGATGATTCGGGGCTCTGGACGCCCGAGTTATCCGGGGTAACTCGGGTCCGGGGTAATTCGGGTTCGGAATCCCGAACAACGAAACCCGAGTTATCCCGACCCGAGTTACCCCTGATGATTCGGGGCTCTGAATCACTGTGCGCCCATGACACAAAGCCCTCCTGTACCCTGTTTGTCCACCTTTCACACCCCAGCTTTGCGACAGCCTCCTCCGACACATGGGCAGTGCGCTTTATCCAATACACCTAAACGTCCAAGGCATTATGGTCGTTATTGGTGATAATAATAGATCATCCCCGCGGTGACCCGAATGTCATGCGAAGCGTCCGGCGTTGAGTTGACCGTACACGCTGCTCACAAGAAACCCTCATCGCCCATGACGCCGTTGAGCGACGGGAACTTGTTCCGTACGGGATACGATCGGGTATGCAGTTCTTGTTTGAACCAACCGAAAATTAGCCACCGTGGACCCCAAGCAGCGATGCTCTTAATATTTTGTGTGGTGCAATCTATGTGATGTAGGTTACGTGTTGCAATCTATGTGTGGCAATGTATGTAGTGTGAGTCACGTGGTACAAGCTGTGTGGTGCAATGCACGTGGCAAGAGCTAACGTACTCATGTATGTGGGGTGGGCTATGTGGTGTAAGGTATGTGGTGCAGTACATGACGTGCAGTCAGCGTGGTGCAATCAATGTGGTACAAGCTATGTGGAGCCATCGATGTTAAGCAATCGATGTGGTGCAATCAGGGTGGTGCAATCTATGTGGTGCCATTCGCGCGGTGCAAGCTACGTGGAGCATTCTATATGGTGCACCATGTGTTGAACAAGCTACGTAGTGCAATCTATGTTAAGCAACGTATGTGATGCCATCTATGTGTTGCAACTCACCTATGCTCGCAATGAATTGTCAGCACCACTGCTCGCGCATTCATCCCACCCACCCACCCGCAACTCGGCGTTGGCTGGTGCATCTCTGTGGCCGTGCTGGCCCGCGCTTTCTCTCGCGCGCGCAGCGGCCAGTTAGTGCGGCGCGACCGACGCAGCCGCGATGGCGCTGACAGCCGGGCACTGCCCAGCGGGCACTCCAGTGCGAGTCGGTGGCTTGGGCGGGCGTGCGATCATGGCGACGCCGATGATGAGAGTAGCGATGATGGTGGCGATGGTGGCGATGAAGACGGCAAGGTCAACGACGGCGCCGATGTCTATCACGCCCGCCGATAACGATGACGATGTCCTCGCGTCAGGGGCTGAAGGTTTTGGGAGGAGTTCAACATGCGCGCGCGGCCGACGCGCGCGAGTGGCTCGCGTGGTATTTTTTGACCCGGATCGTGCCCCCCCCAATCACGCGCGCAAGGACGTTCGGATGAGTTCGACATGCGGCGCGGGAGGCCCGTTTGGCAGAATTCGATGGCAATGCTGAAACCACCAGTGGTTCTCTTAAGAATTCGCCAGAGCACGCGCGCGCAGGTTTTTTTTTGAAAACGGAAGTTGCAATACCATGTGTGCTTTAGAAATTCTCGGGGAGCTCATTTTTGAAATCCTTACGAAACCTCATTTGTTTGCAGATTCCGGCATGCGCGCGACGACGCGCGCGTGTGCACTTTGTCCGGTGTTTTGCAAAGGATTCTAGCGACAGCACGCGCGCAAGGGCGTTCGAATAATTTCGACGCGCGCGCGATGTAGCATGTCATCATAATGTTGGGAAGCCTAAGCTTTTTCTTATATGGATTTGCAAGAGCAAGAGCGTAAGTCTTTTTTGAAAATTCGTGTTGCGAAACCATGTTTGTTATATGTTTTCGGGACACTCGTTTTTGACAATCCTCACGAAACCTATGATTTTTGAGAGGTTTCGGCATGCACGCGCGAAGACGCGCGCGTGTGCACTTTTGTCCCGTCGTTTCAACAGACTCTGGCGACATCACGCGCGCAAGGGCGTCCGAACGATTTCGACATATGCGCGCGAGAGGCCCATCTGGAAGCATGTTATGAAAATGTTGGAAAAAACTCTGGTTTTCATAATACGCTGCGCTCTACGTGGTAATACTCTGGAAAGGAACGTGCCGAAAAGTAGTACGCACCCCGCGCCACGTAGAGCTGGAGCTCCCTTTCCCGAGGGGGCGGTTAAATCTGGGGGGGGAGATCCTATTTAGAGAGATTCTATGTGCGGCAACCTGTGTGGTGAATTTCAGGTGGTGTAATCTGCGTTCGACAACCTATGTGGTGTAAGCTCCGACGGGCGGCGACGAGGCGGCGACGGGCGGTGACGACGCGTCGACGGCGCGGCGGCGGCGACAACGAGCCGCCCGGGGGCGGGAGCCGGGCCCGGACGAGGCGGCGACGGGCGGCGACGACCGGCGACGGCGCGGGGACGGCGACAAGAAGCCGCCCGGGGCGGCAGCCAGGCCCAGACGAGGCGGCGATGGGCGGCGACCAGCGGCGACAGGGCGGCGGCGGCGAGAACAAGCCAAGCCGGCCGAGGCGGCAGCCAGGCCCAGCTTCGCGAAACCAAGCAAGATCCCCTAAGTGCAAACACTGTTTGGGGGAGTTCTTCCAGGCAGCTTGGACACGTGCATCGGTTTCCACTGCTGCCGGGTTGCAAAAGGTGAAACGGCGTCCAACATATTTCTGTGTTCCCGTGTATGCCAGATGCCAGGAGTGATGATGATGATGATGATGATGATGATGATGATGATGATGATGATGATAATGATGATGATGATGATGATGATGATGATGATGATGATGATGATGATGATGATGATGATGATGATGATGATGATGATGATGATGATGTTGTTGTTGATGATGATGATGATGATGATGATGATGATGATGATGATATGATGTTGATGCTGAGTATGATGATGATGGTGATGCTGATGATGATGAGGATGATCATGATGATGATGATCATGATTATGACTATGATGATGATGATGATGATGATGAGGAGGATGAGGATGAGGATGAGGATGAGGATGAGGATGAGGATGAGGATGATGAGGATGATGATGATGATGATGATGATGATGATGATGATGATGATGATGATGATGATGATGATGATGATGATGGGAGGAAGGGCAGGGGATGGAGGCATGGATGGAAACAGTGCCTCTGGACACTCCGTGCGGGATGCGTTCGCAGCCTTGGTGAGCCCGTCCGTCCCGACATGCGAAGCCCCATCCCCCGCAGAATCCTAGGATTGTGTCTGCAGACCCAGCGCTCCGTGGAACCCATTGCCCCTGGGGTCCAGGGTCATGATTAATGACGTTTATAGCAGGCACAGAATTGGATCCACGAGACGTCCACACAACAAAATGTATCCAGGCATCTGACGAAATGGATCCACGAGACCCTCGCACGCACGTGATGGGATCCGATTGGATCCAACGTTTCTTTTTTTATCCAAGAGGAAACGACCGGCCTGGGGATGTATGAGGAGGAGGAGGAGGCTTGGGACGGGAGAGTGGATTGCAGCATCGTGGATACATCTTGGGTTTGCTCTGGTTCTCTTCTTCCTCCTCCTCTTCCTCCTCCTCTTCCTCCTTATTCCCCTCCTTTCTGCTAATTAGCTGGGTCACCCACCTCTTCAGGTTCGAGGTTTCTGGTTGCTTGGGGGCCGTTCGCGGTCTCAAGGGGCGCCCCCCTGGCACCGGCTGGATCCGCCGCCGTAACGTCGGAACGTCATCGTCACTTCGCCGTCGACACTGTCCTGTCGGTAGCGTCGTCGTCGTCGCCGTCGCCTTCGCCTTCGTTCTCGCCGTCGTCCTCGTTTTCGTCGTCGCTGCCACCGATGGCCGCCAGTGGCCGCCGAAGGCCGGGGTGCCCCGGAGGGGCCTTCGGGGGCGCGTCGCAGCCGAAGATGGTGCGCATCATTTCCCCCAGGCTGGGCTGCTCCTGGCGTCACTGGCAGCGCCCCCCCCCGGGCGGCCAGGGTCAGGGAGGCGAGGAGGGCGAGGTGCTGGTTGGAGGGGGGGGGAGGGAGGGAGGGCGAGGAGCGCGAAGAGGAGCGCGGGGGTGGAGGAGGACGGAGGACGGAGGAGGAGAAGGGGGAGGAAGAGGAGGAGGAGGAGGAGGAAGAGGAGGAGGAGGACGAGGAGGACGAGGGAAGAAGAGGAGGGGGAAGGAGAGGAGGGGGAAGCAGGCGAGGGGAGAGGACAAGCTAGGTGCGCTCGCGCCTCATCTGACGTCCTATCCCTGCCTCCCATCCCTTCCCATGGCGCTGACGTTTCTCTATCCGCGGACGCGTGGTATAGCCGACCTGCGACTCACACAGAAAGACCACTTCGTGTTCTGCGCAATCGAAAAAGGGGTAGCTGCGTGCACAAGAGGAGGAGGTGGTGGGTGAGCAGGAGGATGAGCGCAATGGCAAGGATGAGGACGAACAACAACAAGAACTAAAGGCGACGGATCAAGAGGAAAAGGGGGACCAGGGGAAGGCGGAGGAGGGCATTTGAGGGGGGCGACAACGGTGAAGAAAATCTCGGGTTCAGCAACATTGCCCGCGCTGGGGCGAGACGAACAACAGCAATAGGAGCTGGAGTGGAAGGAGTGGGAAAAACAGGATGACCAGCGGAAGGCGGAGGAGAGGAAATGAGGGGGGGACCACGATGAAGCAAGACTCGGATCCAGAAAAGTGGCCCGCGCCGGGGCGAGAGCGCCATTCTGAACGACGGGAGCAAAGCGCCGATTCGAAAATGAGGCCCACGCTGCAGCGGGAGCCCATTTTTGAAACAGCGGGAACAATCGGATTGAACAGCAAACGTAAGACGCATCCGTGTTTGAAATCCTTGTTCATAGACAGCACGCGGAGGGGGCGGGAGATCTTTCGGACAACTTCAATGGAGGAGGGATACTAGTTTTCATGCTGTTTAATTGTAGAGGGACAGGGGCGGGCGGAGAGGGAAGAGGAGCAGGGGAAGGCATGGAAGGAGGGGAGAGGGAACGGGGCGGAAGAGGCGGGGGGAGGATAGGGGGACTCGATGAGGGAGGTGTAGATGAGGAGGGGAGGAGGAGGGACGTGGAAGAGAAAAGGGGGGTGCGAGGGTGAAGGGGAAGGGGAGGAGGGAGGTCGGGGCTGAAGTGGGGAATGAAGGAGACGGAAGGACGGGATGGGAGGGAGAGTTGGGATGGGTCAGTGACGAGAGGAAAGGGGAGGGAAGGATGACGGAGAAAGGGGAAAGGGAGGGGAGTGATGAAGGGGAGAAGGGGAGGGGGATGGGAAAGAGGGGGGGGGGACGGGGAGGAGAAGAGGGGGGACTGGGAGGGGAGGGGGAGGCGGAGGGGAATGGGCAGCGAGGAGGAAGGGGATGATAAATACGGGGTCCCCGGAGTTCTGGACCACTTCTCGGGGACCAGTTGTTCGGCCCGAGTCGTTCTGTGGCGTTCCTGGGGCCCGGCGAGGGCCCCCAAATACCGAAAACTAGAAAACACAACTCCGCCTGGAGTTTTTTGTTCAATGCTCGGGGGGTCCGTGGCCGAGACGGCGCGGCATTGGCTTCGGGGTGCTCCCGAAATGCTCTACTCATCGAGGTGCCCTGGGTATCGTCCAAGATGGCCACGACCCACGGCGGTGTCGAAGCGAGGCAGGGTGGCTCCAAGGCTACTCCGAGATGCCTCACTCCTCAAGGCGCCTCCGGGTCGCCTGGGACGGCAGGCCTCCGAGACGGCCCAGATGGCCTTCGATACAGCAGGCGCACGCGATGCGACGTACTGCTATCATATATATATATATATATATATATATATATATATTTATCGGGGCACACTCTTCGCCGAACTTGGAGGGCCCTGGTGTGCCCCAAAGCTTCTGTGGGCCCCCGGGGCCATCGGGGGATGAGAAACTTCCGTGGGGCACCTGCACCTGCTGGCAGGCCCTTTTCTCACCCGACGTGCTACTCTACTGCCGAAGGTAGCATCCAAATGACCTTCCATGGCTCGAACTCCTTTTCTAAATCGTTTCTTGACCTGCTCCCCCAAGATGGACAATGATTCCAAGGTGCGCCCACGATGGCCCGACACGACCAAGAGTGGCGAAAAGCCACCCGAATAGCGCAACACGCAGACCCTCATAACTAAGACAACGCACAATCGGACCCTCGTGGCCGACTCTGGACACCCTGTCAACGCTGGCGTTGACCTCCTTGGGGGGCCTAACCTTGCCCGCTGGGTTTCCTCCGCCAGCTTTCGCCGAGGGCAATACGTGAACCTCTAGTAGGGGGCCACGTGCGAGCCCTACCCCTGCCCCCCACGATTTCTGAGGGGGAGGGTGGGGCTCACTTCGTTCGGGAGCTCCCAAGCGAAGTGAACCCCACCCTCCCCTCAGAAATCGTGGGGGGTAGGGGTAGGGTTCGCCTGCGGTCCCCTATCTAGGTCCCTCGGAGATAAGGCCCCGTTGGAACGCCCTGTATGGCAAGCAAAACCCCAGCAACCAAGAGGCCCCGGGAGCGCGGGCGCCGACGGGCGCGGGCTGCACGACGCTCTCGCAGCACGGGCCCCGAGCAGCTCCCAAGGCTTGCGCGCCCAAGGGGTCCGCGCCGCCGAGCAGCAGAATGGAGACGAGAATGAACAGGGCTGAACCTAAACGGTGTTGTTCGTTTTCGTTTTGTTTCCTTTTCTTTCGTTTTGTCTTCAATCCGCATTTACAGCAAAACGAAATCGAAACGAAAACGGCCCACGAAATCGCCAAAACACCGTTTAGGTCCAGCCCTGAAAATGAAATACGTGGATGCTGATGGTGGTGCTGCCTGTGGCCTCCGATGGTAAGTCTAACGTGCGCCCCGCGGAATGTCGTGAGGGGCGGGCGCAACGCATGCGCCCCTGGCTGTGCTAGCGGACTCCTGGCAGGCAGTGTCAATGCCAATCCACTGCGTGCACATCCTCGGCAACGTCCCGATTGCCTGGAGCAGCATCAACGGGGACCGTCAAAGGCTCAACGCCTGACCGCCGTCTCTTCAACAAGCGTGGCGCTTCAAGGTCGGTTTCTCTCACCGTGAATGCGGAGTACGACGAAAACAACAAATTGATCTTCCTTGCACGCACTTGCAGAATTGATCCGCAACGCGTGGGGGCACCTTCGAACAGGATCAATATGAAAGACGAAGATCACTCACCAAGCAGGTGTTCGGGGGCTCTTTTCACGAAGCCTACAGCTGCTCCCATCTTGGAGCTCGTCGCGAGAATCATTAGAGCCACAAGTATTAAACCCACTGTGGATTTTCCACCCCCTTTATGGGAACCCTGCAACTCTGAGTCGGCCATCCTACGCGGGCACTGCTTGTTAGAAACCCGTTCATCGAACGAGCCAAAGAAGTAGCCAATTCTGAACTACCGCACGATGAGCCAACGAGGAAGCTGAGACGGAGGCTCCACCGTGGCATGAAAGGACCGATCTCTGAGGGTAACAAGGGGCGCCTAACTTCGCGCTTCGCGCTGCGCGAAGCGCGAATCACCTCGCGCTCTCGCGCCCCCCCCCCCAGGGAAACGAAGAACAAGAGGAAGAATCGGAGCCGAAACTTTTTTGGTCTGCGGACTCGCGAAGCAAGTCGAAAGCCGTCCGATCACTAGCCGGGCCACGACTAGGCAGCAAGAAAAGAGTGGGGCAAGCGAAGCGAGCGCGCGGGCAGCCACTCAGAAGGAACACCAGGCGCGGCACTCCCGACCCGGTGGCGTGGAAATCCTGGTGGCGACCATCAAGTAGGCGCAGTCAAAATGGCGCGGCGGCGCGACCATGAACACGCAGAGGTCGGTCACCCGGTGTGAGTCGGCATAGGGCCCGACGAAAACGAGCAGGTCCGACAGGCACTCCAGGGCGACATCCGTGCCGTAGGTGACACAACAGCAGCGTACGGAGCCGAAACGCGAAGCGCGAATAACCTTGCGCCCTCGAGGGCGCCATTGGGGAAACGGCCCTGGCATCACCTGAAGCTCTTCCCCGTGGCCAGCTGTGCATCCCGAGCCGCTCTTTTAGACGTCCCTGGGGCCCTGGAAGACCCAGGGAGGCCAACAACTAACCAGCCTCGAACTTATCCCTATCCCTGACATTGACGCGCCAAAAGGCGATGACAATCTTAGGGATGCACCCTCAGAAACTGAGGGAACCCCTGAGATCGCCATCGTGACGAGGCGATGCCCAACATAGGGATAGGGATAGGTTCCAGGCTGGTAAACAGCGGCGAAAAGCCCCAAATGAGCGACGAACCGAAACGGGTGTTACGCGAACTGCCAGAGCGACATTACGCGGTGGCTTACGCGGGCCGCCAACGCGGCACGCTTAATTGAAACCGAGGGCGCTGACGCGCGACCTTGCGCGGACAGCTTGCGCGCGAATGCCGGCGCAGACGGCACCGATGTTCAGCGTCGCCCAGGTGGAGGGGCCGAAAACAAGGACCAGGATCAAAACCGAACGCGGAAGCCACGGTGCCAATCCTGGTCGCCGTCCGCCTGTGTCACCGTCAATTCGTGGATCATCTTTGCGAACCAGCGGCGGCTGGCATGGACCTTACCAAGACCGGCGTCGACAAGCTCGTGCGACATCTTGGCCGTGGTCATCTTACCTCTTTCCTCGAGCAAGGCCCGTTTCTTGAGGACCCCCCCCCCTTCATGGCGATCGCAGTGTGATCTGGAAGCCAATAGCCCATTAGTGCCGCCACCAAGCAAGTCTGGCACCAGCAATCCAGCGGCTAGCCGCCTCTGGGGGGGCGACATCGAAGAGCACACACACAAACACGCACACAGAGACAAACTCACACAGATAACCAGAGACCTGCACAAGATGGGGATACGAGCTCACTTCTGGAGGTTTCTCTTGCTCCACTCTGGAAGCTCTCCTCTTCTTGAATGGAGGCTGGGCCTCGAGAGTAAATGTTTCCAGTCCCCTTGGCACGAGAAGCCGCCCCGCGGCGAGCAAGGCAAGGCAATCTCCCCCTCCCCCCCGCCCGCCCCCCTCCCCCAACGAGAATCCAGCCTGCCCCCCCCCCCCCCCCTCCCCGCACACACACATACACACACACGCGCGCACACACGCACACGCACACACGCACAGGCACACACGCACGCACGCACGCACACACAGAGACAGACAGACAGATAGGCAGGCAGCAGACAGACAGACAGACAGACAGACAGGCAGACAGACATACAGACAGACACAGACAGACAGACAGACAGACAGACAGACAGACAGACAGACAGACAGACAGACAGACAGACAGCCAGCCAGCCAGCCAGCCAGCCAGCCAGCCAGCCAGCCAGACAGACACACACACAGGCAGACAGAAATAATGACAGGCAGACAGACAGACAGACAGGCAGACAGGCAGGCAGACAGGCAGGCAGGAAGGCAGGCAGGCAGGCAGGCAGGCAGGCAGGCAGGCAGCCAGACAGCCAGCCAGACAGACAGACAGACACACGCACATACACACACATACATACACGTACCCACACACACACACATATACTCTTCCTCCTCCTCCTCCTCCTCTTCGTCGTCCTCCTCCTCCTCCTCCTCCTCCTCTCCTCCCCCCCTCGTCCACCGCCGCATCATCATCATCATCATCATCATCATCATCATCATCATCATCATCATCATCATCATCATCATCATCATCATCATCATCATCATCGTCATCATCATCATCATCCTCATCATCATAATCATCATCATCATCAGCATCATCAGCATCATCATCATATCATCAGCAGCAGCATCAGCATCATCATCATCATCATCATCATCATCATCATCATCATCATCAGCAGCAGCAGCAGCATCAGCATCATCATCACCATCACCATCACTATCATCATCATCATCATCATCATCATCATCATCATCATCATCACCACCATCATCATCATCGTCATTATCATCAGCAGCATCATCATCCTTTTCCTGCACCTCTTTCCTCCTCCTCTTCCTCATCATCCTCCTCCTCCTCGTCCTCCTTCTCATCCGCCTCCTCCTCCTCCTCGTGCTCCTGCTCCTCCTCCTCCTCCTCCTCCTCCTCTTCCTCCTCCTCCTCCTCCTCCTCCTCCTCCTCCTCCTCCTCCTCCTTTCCCCCCCCCGCCCGCAGGGAGCGGCGGTGGCCGCCTCCGCGTTGTGCCGTTCCGTCCGCCCCTCGCGGCGCGCTCTCCTGCAGCCGCGCGCCCCGCGAGGGGGGGGGGGGAAGGAAGGGGAAGGAGGAGGGAAGGGGAAAAGGGAGGGAGGGAGGAAGGGATGGAGAACAAGGGAGGAGGAGGAGAGGAGGAGGAGGAGGAGGAGGAGGAGGAGGAGGAGGAGGAGGAGGAGGAGGACGAAGAGGAGAACGAAGAGGGAGAGGGGGAGGAGGAGGAGGAGGAGGAGGAGCTTTTCCAGTTGCGCAGAGCAAGTGAACACCTCTCCCGCCAGCACTGTATATCACCACATCGAAGCTGCTCCACAACGTGGGACGGAGGAAAGCAAGACGGCCGCCGGGCCGTGATGTCGACGAGCCAATGCGTCTCAAACGAGCAGTGACACGGACGGCGAGGAGGCATGGCAGATAGATGCTACGAGCCTCGCGAAGCAAGGCCAGGAGGAGGAGGAGGAGGAAAAGGAGGAGGAGGAGGAGGAGGAGGAGGAGCCCCAAGGAGCGGCATTAGCACCCGAGGAGGGGAAGTGCCTGAGAGGGGGGAGCGGAGGGAGAGAAGAGGGATGCGAGGCGAGGCGGGCGCGGGGGCAGGCTCGAGCTGTGTCGAGTCGCGACATCGGGTCGGACCGGAGACGGACCGGATTGCCAACGGATCGTCCCGAAATCGGATCGCGGCGCCCCACTCTGGCCGGCCCTGGCCGTCGCGGGTGCATCTATAGCCGACTCGGATCGAACCGGGATCGCGGCCGCAGCTGGCTGAATCACGTCGAATCGGATCGTAGGCGGCCCTGGGCGGTTCGCGGGGAAGGGAAGAAGAGGGGGAGGCGGGGAGGATGGGCAGGAGCTGCAGCAGCAGCAGCAAGGATCCCCCTTTCCATACGTGCTCAGCCTGCGCTCGGAAGAGATCTCGACGGAAACGGCATGTAAACCCTTCCTCTTATCCCCCCTTCCCTCCTCTCTTGAACGTGCGAAGAACGACATGACGGTATGACGTGATTTGTTCCGCGATCAGGGGGTGAGCAGCATCCCTAAGGAGAACTGCCGCCTGAAGAGGGACCACATCCGGTGTGAGTGAGCTCCGCCCAGGGGGAAAAGCTGCGGCGACAGAGTACGACCTGAACGATAGCCACCGTCGCCAGAAGGGCCACGGCTGGAAGGAGAGCTGCGGCCCGAACGAGGGCTGCAGCAATCCCAGACCCCCGACGTCATGATTTTTTCATGACGCGACCCCCAAAGGTCCAGACCCATTCCCCGGTTTTTCATCCCGAGTCGTTTTTTGACGGTCCCGAGGGCCGGTAAGGGCCCCCAAAGGCCAAAAATAATGAAAAACCTCCCGTCGTGATTTTTTCATAACTCGAGGGGGTCTGGGATGGCAGCAATCAGCCCGATGCCGGAGGCCGGAAGAGGGGCTGCACGGCCCGAAGACGAGCTGCAGCCACAGGGAGCGCGGCAACGACGGCCTCCAGAGGAGCTGCGGCCGAGAGGAGGGCCGCCCTGCCCGCAAGCGGGTCCACGTGCGCGTGGGGAAGAGGAGGAGGAGGACGAGGAGGAGGAGGAGGAGGAGGAGGAGGAGTGGAGGAGGAGGGAGAGGTGAGGAGGAGGGGAGGAGGGGGCGAGGAGGAGAGAGGAGGAGGAGGAGGAGGAGGGAGGAGGAGGGAGGAAGGAGAGGAGGAGGAGGAGGAGAGAGGAGGAGAGGGGAGGAGGAAGGGAGGAGGAGGCGAGGAGGAGAGGAGAAGGAGAGGAGGAGGGCGGAGGGAGGAGGCGGAGGAGGAGGGAGGAGAGGATGAGGAGGGATGATGAGGGGATGGGTAGGAGGAGGCTGCGGAGGAGGAGGAGGGAGGAGGGAGGGATGAGGAGGAGGCGAGGAGGAAGGGGAGGAGAGGAGGGATGAGGTGAGGGAGGAGGGAGGAGGAGGATCGAGGAAGCGCAACCGCGGATTCATGCGCCAGAGGCGAGCGCTGCCGCCAGGGCGGCGCCTGCCCGCCGCCCCGGCGGGCCTGCGCCAAGGGCCGGCGCGCAGAGCACCGCCTCGCGCGCGGCCCCCCCCTCGCGCCGCAGCGCCGCGCCGCCGCCGCCCGAGCCCGCGCGGCCGTGATGTCCTCCTCCTCCTCCTCCTCCTCCCCTCCTCCTCCGTCCTCCCCCCCCCCCTCCTCCTCCTCCTCCTCCTCTCCTCCTCCTCCTCCTCCCTCCTCCTCCTCCTCCCCTCCTCCTCCTCCTCCTCCTCCTCCTCCTCCTCCTCCCCTCCTCTCCCCCCCTCCTCCTCCTCCTTTCTCCCCCTCCTCCTCCTCCTCCTTTCTCCCCCTCTGTTGCCTACCTCCTCCGCCACGCGTCCGCCGCGCGAGGGCGTCGCGCGAGGCCCTCGCCGCCGGCTCGGCGACGGCGGCCTCGTCGCCGCCGAGGACTGCGCGCGGCGCGCTCCGCGCGGACACTATTTGTTGATTGCGAGTGCCGCGGAAGCAGCCGCGCACCGTCGAGGAGGGTCGATCGAAGCGCTAGGCCGCGCAAGTGCAGGGCGGCGGAAAAATGGACGGGCCACTACGCGGACAGCGCAAGGGGGACGACTCGGCGCGGACACGCGCGGCCATGGGGAGAGGGGCCGACGCGAACCCCCACGCCAAGCGGGCGGGAGCGCAAACAACGTTAGCTACTGGAAGAGAGCTTCACGCCTACAAGCAAACAGGACTCGTCAAACATGATGTGACGGCTCTTGCTTACGCTGTCTGTGTAGTCGGCGCTACGTCAATGCTAGCGCGAGATATTTGGCCCAGACGCAAGGGTACCCGAAATCTGGAAACTCCCTCACAGCTTTGAAGAAAACGCTTTCTGACAAGCGTCCGAACTATCGATGTTAAACAGCGTGCCAGTTTACTTGCGACGAGGCCTGTAGGACCCGCAAAGGTCGACGGCGAGAGTGCCCCACTAGTTATTTCTTGTAGCAAAAGTTCTGTTCGGATGTGTGTGCATGTGCGCTATCATCGTGAAGGGCCTCCAGGCCGCGCGCGGCTGTCTCTTCGTTGTATTCCTGCCTTGCCGCCGCCTCCGTGCCCATGTCGCGCTGCGCAGCCTCCCTGTTCGCGGCCGCGCGACGAGCCAGCGCTGGCGCGCCAGTCGGGCCGCCGGGCCAGCAGAGAGCCAGTTTCACCGAAGGGCGTGGCGGCGGGGCATCTGCGACGCCGTCGCGCAGCTGCTTGTCGCCGCCCGCCCCGCGACATGACGTGAGGCTGGCCGCTATCGGCGTCGCAGCGGCACATCCGCCGCCGCGCCGCGAGGCGCGAAGTGGAGTTTTCTCCGGGTCCTCATGTATCCCCTGCTCTCTGTACTCAGGGCTCTGGGATGATGCCATTCTTGGTGCTGGGCCCCAACTTTCGCGCGCGCGCGCTCTTGGGCGCGCTCTTGGGCTGCCCCATGACGCATGACTTGTCCAGAAGCCAGAGGGCCCCAAGAAGGGCCAAGAGGGCCCCAGAAAGCGCCCAAGCGGGTCCAAGAGGCGTCCAAGACAGCCTAAGAGCGCTTCAAGACGCCCGAAACGGCCCCAAGACGGCCCAAGTGGCCCAAAGAAACCCCAAGAGCGCTCGAAGATACCCCCCGAAAGAAGGGCCACAGGGGCACAAATCATTGAGTTCCTGGATATGTGTTTCATGTTGTTTCGCGTTCTCACGTTTTCGGTTCCCGACGCTCCAAGATGGCCCCAGAGGCCCGCAAGATCGCCCCAAGACGGCCCCAAAGACCGCCCCAAGACGGTCCAAGAGGGCCCCACAACGACCCAAGATGCGCCCGAACCGACAATTCGAACCTTCCGCCCCAACAATCCCCAACAGGCCAAAAGGCTCCCCAGACCCCCGACGTCATGATTTTTTCATGACGTCGACCCCCCGAGGTCTCGACCCATTCCCTGGGACCGGTTTTTCGTCCTGAGTCGTTTTCTGACGGTCCCGAGGGCCGGCAAGGGCCCCCAGAGGCCAAAAATACTGAAAAACCTCCCGTCGTGATTTTTTCATAACTCGAGGGGGTCTGGGGGGGCCCCACGAAACCCCCGAGAGGCTCAACACGAGGCCCTTGAAGGCTCCCAAACGGCCGAGCAAAGCCTTCTGTGTGGCCGCGGTCCGGCGGGCCCAGCGAGCCCGGCGGGCCCGGCGAACCTGGCGGGCCCGGCAGGCCCGGCGGGCCCGGCAGGACCGGCGCGGGCCCGGCGGGCCCGGCGGGCCCGGCGGGCCAGGCGAGCTCAGCGAGCCGGGCGGGCCCGGCGGGCCCGGCAGGCGCCCGGCGAGCCCAGCGAGCTCAGCGGGCCCGGCGAGCCCGGCAGGCGCCCGGCGAGCCCGGCAGGCACCGGCGGGCCCGGCGGGCCCGGCGGACCCGGCGAGCCCGGCGGCGAGCCCGTCTACGGCCCCGAAGAATGCGTCAAAATTGTTTCGTTCTCAATGCGACCTCACAGGAATCAATGTGTTTTTACATGTTTCATCACGATTCCCTAGGGTTCATCGTCGTGCTCTCGTCGTGCTCTCGTGCTCGTCGTCGTACTCTCGTCGTAATACTCTCGTCGTCGTGCTCTCGTCGTGCTTTCGTGCTCGTCGTGCTCGTCGTCGTGCTGTCGTCGTGCTCTCGTGCTCGTCGTGCTCGTCGTGCTCTCGTCGTCGTGCTCTCGTGCTCGTCGTCGTGCTCTCGTCGTGCTCTCGTCGTCGTGCTCTCGTCATCGTGCTCTCGTCGTAGTTCTCTCGTGCTCGTCGTCGTGCTCTCGTCGTGCTCTCGCGCTCGTCGTCGTGCTCTCGTCTTAGTGACTAGTGCTGGTCGTCGTGCTCTCGTCGTCGCGCTGTCGTCGTCGTACTCGTCTTCGTGCTCCTCGTCGTGCTCGTCTTCGTCGTGCTCGCCGTCGTCGTCGCGCTTTCGTCGTTGTGCTCTCGGCACGGATTTGGTTCGCCAGAGTATGGGTTCGCCGGGGCTTGGTTCGCTGGGGCTTGGTTCGCTGGGGTTTGGTTCGATGGGGCTCGCTTCGCCGGGGCCCGCGCGCCCGAGCATGGCGCCCCGCGGTGGCGGCGCGCCGGGGACGTGGTGAGTGGGGATGGCCGACAGCGCAAGCCTCGCGCCGTCGCGCCGGCAGGCGAGGCGAGTGGCTTCCTGGACACGTTGAGTTCGAGGGTGGTGGAAGGAAACGGGGATGGTGGAAGTAATGGATTTGTTGTGCGCCTGCGACAAGGGCGCGTCGCGCGAGCGCGCGTGGAGCGCGCCACGCGCGCGCGCGCCTCTCGCGGCGTAGCGCATGCGACGCCGAGCGATGCCGCCCATCGTCCTCCTCCGCCTCCTCGTCCTTGGCCTCGTCCTCTTTGCGCCTGTATTTCTCGTCGTGGTCGTCGTCGCCCGCGCCCTCTTCGCCCCCTTGCGGCCCATGCGCGAGCTGGCAGGGTGTCCCTGAGGCCGCCGTGCGTTCCATGTGGTTTCGAATGTGTAAGGCTCACGCGCTGCTGCTTTGCATCGCGCAGAGAACGAAAGAAAACGTTGTTGTGCTCATCCAGATCCTGTTTGGGCGCCCGCGACAAGGGTGCGTCGCGCGCGCGCGGAGTGCGCCACGCGCGCGCGCGCCTCGCTGCGTAGCGCGCGCGACGCCGAGCGATGCCGCGCATCGTCGTCGTCCTCCTAGTCCTCGTCCTGCGCCTCGTCCTCTGTGTGCTCGTACTATTCGTCGCGGTTGTCGTCGTCCGCATCCTCCTCGTCCTTCACTTCGGAGCGCCTTGTGGCCCCTGTTCGAGCAGGCAGGGTGCCCGCTGAGGCCGCCGTGCTTTCTATTTGGCTTCGAAAGTATAAGGCTCACCTGTTGCAGCTTTGCATCGCAGATATGAAAGAAAACGTTGTCGTGATCGTCCAGATCCTGCTCCCGCTCGCCCTCCCCTTCTGTCCTCTCCCTCTCCTCTGCATGCCCCCCCGCTTCCCCCCTTCGTTCCCCGCATGTCGCCCTCCTCCCCCTCTGGTCTTTCACGTCCTTGTTCGGGACCTGGGGGGTGAACGATGCAGAAAGGCTCCCGCCTATGATGCCGCAGGCTTCCTTCGAACAGCTATGCTGATTGGGGTGCTGTTGCGATGTAAGCAAATTCCTGCCGAGGAAGGCCGAAGCGAGGACATCCTCAAACATCTGGTAGTCTGGCCCGTGCCGCCTGAGACATGCTCACAACTCTCGTTCCGAGTTGGCGGGGCTTGGGCGGCTTGCTTGAGACATCCTCAAGATTCTGTCCTCCGTGGTGCCATTCGCCAGGTGGCCCGGGCCGTTTCGCTTGACTTCCGCAGGTCAGAGCTCCGAGCTGCCGCGTGAGAAGTGGTTCGCCCTGTTTCGCCAATCAAGAGCAGGAGGACGTTAAGTGGGGGACGCGCAAACATATTGAGGATCAAACCTGGTTATAAAATTGTGTGTTTGAAGATGGTGGGATCCGTTTACCGTTTACGGGGTGGGTGCTCCAACTACCGCCAGGACGATGTTGATGAGGCTGACGATGATGATGACGATGGGTATGGCAGAAGCAGGAGGATGGGAGGAGGAGGAGGAGGAGGCGGAGGAGGAGGGGGAGGAGGAGGAGGAGGAGGAGGAAGAGGAGGAGGAGGAGGAGGAGGAGGAGGAGGAGAGGACGACGACGACGACGACGACGAGGACGAGGAGGAGGAGGACGAGGGGGAGAAGTGGGAGGAGGAGGAGAAGGAGCCCTAGGAGGAGGAGGAGGAGAGGAGGAGAGGAGGAGGAGGAGGAGGAGGAGGACGACGTTGACGACGACGACGACGTTGACGACGACGAGAAGGAGGAGGGGAAGGAGGAGGAGGAACTGCATGGAGGAGGAGGAGGAGGAGGAAGAGGATGAGGAGGAGGAGGAAGAGGAGGAGGAGGAGGAGGGGCCCGGCGAGCTGGGCGAGGCTGGCGGCCCTGGCGAGTCCGGTGGGGCTGGCAGGCCCGGCGAGCTTGGCGAGCCCGGCGGGCCCGGCGGGCCCGGCGGGCCGGGCGGGCCTGGCGGGCCCTGCAAGCCCGGCGAACCCGGCGGGCCCGGCTAGCCCGGCAGGCCCGGATAGTACCGGATAGCAGGCCACACAGAAGGCTGTTATGAAACGGCCCCCAAGAGGCTTCAAAACTGCCTCCACAAAGCCCCCGGACGGCCTCCCACGAGATCCAAACGAACATCCAGGAGGCCTCTAACCCAAAATCCAGGCACGGTGGCAGGATGGGCCGAAGGTCACTCGATTTTTCGCGGGACAAAAGCCCGACGACGTCCTCCGCACTAGTTACTACCCAGCTGCATGTGTCCACCGCGCCTGGCTTGTATAAGAGATGATGGGGTTAGCCCAGGTTGTGTTCCACAGTATACGGCCCAGACGCAAAGGTGTCCGAGATCCCGCGACATCCTCACAGCATTGGCCAACGCGCTTTCTGACATGCGTCCAAACCATCGAGCGCCACGAGTTTAAACGGCGTGTCAGTTTGCTTGTGACGAGGCTTGCCGCTGTCATCCAGCGTGGTCCCCAAGCAGCACGGGGTGGTAGTCATCGATGCTACGGCGATATACATTTAATCCAACAGCGACCCAACAGCGCCCACCGCGCTCCGTTCTTGTTCAAGCGATGGTGGCCGGGCAGGTGCGCAACTTCCCCGCAATTACCGGGCCGCTGTCCACTCGACATTTTTGGTTCTGGATGACAGTGATCTTTGCTACGGTGATGTACTTTTTACACGGCAACCACCCGGCTGTGTCCACCGCGCTTGGTTTTTTATCAGGGATGATGGGGCGGATATTTGGGCGCTTAAAAAAAATAAAAATAAAAAACACTTCGCCGTCCTGTTTAAACTTCTGCAAACACCGGGGGAGGAGGAGGAGGAGGAGGAAGGAGGAGGAGGAGGAGGAGGGAGGAGGAGGAGGACGAGGAGGAGGACGAGAAGGACGAGAAGGAGGAGAAGGAGGAGGAGGAGGAGCACGAGCCGCATGACACGTGTGCACGTTGCCGTCGCCCCAGGCTTCCCCTCCCCTCCTCCCGTGTTGAGAGAGAGATACGTAGTTCCCACCGCATGACACGTATGCACGTTGCCGTCGCCCCAGACGTCCCCTCCCCTCCTCCCGTGTTGAGAAGGAGAGAGAGAGAGAGAGAGAGATCCTCCCGTCCCACTCTCTCCACCACTGGGACATCTGTGCTCCTTATAAGAAAGGAACAAGAGAGAGAACAAAAGGAAAGAGAGAGAGAGAGAGACAGAGGGCATGCCACCAGCGAGCGCAACGATCACGCGAGACGATTAGCTAGGCGGGCAGGCCTGGTAGAGACAGGTCCGAAAAGAAACTCAAGTATGGGGCTACGCACCAGGGAATCCCATTCCGGCGCAAAAGTGGCAGCAAAACAGGGAAGACAAACTCCTGCCTTCCCCCCCGCCACAGGAAAAGCTGTGCACCAGCGCGTGCGCAGGCCTCGTACAGTGGTGCGGTGGCGCCGCCGCGCTACAGCTCTTAGCTGTGTGAGTGTGCGGCTCAGGGTGCGCTTCGAAGCGCTGCGTAAGTAAGGAGGAGCGCCTGCACAACCAGACCGAGAAAAAGAGGAGGGGAAGGAGGAAAACGAAGAGGAGGAAGTTGCAAGAGCAAACATTTCATTGAGCAGCGCAGCAGGGGAGGAAGTGGATGAAGAGGGACTGACAGGGGAACGATCATGCGAATGGCGGCCAGTGGAGAGGACCAGGATGGGAATGATTAGGAGGAGCGATGGATTATTAGGGAAGGATGACTAATGCAAATGAACTGATGGGAGAGGAGAGGCGACGAGAAGGAGGAAGGACGAAGGATGAAGAAGGTGGAGAAAGCAGGGATGAGGGAGGAACGAGAAAGGTTGTTGCAATTCAGAGGGAGACAGCGCATGTCAGAACAAGGAAGCAATACGATGAAAGAGTGCAGAGGCATCAGAGAAGAATGAGGACGGTGGCAAGAAGAAAGAGGGTAGGGCCAGCGGGAAATGGAGGAAGCAGGAAAGAATGGTGGACGCGTTCCTCCTTCCACGATTCTTCCCAGCCTCCCACGGAATGATGAGGGGGGGCGAGGGACGCGGGACGACGGAGAGGGATCAGAAAGGATGGGGAGGAGAACGGGAAGGAGGAGGACGAGGACGAGGACGCCGACGACGGGGACCACGACGCTGGTCGTCCACGGACCACCACGACGACCACGACGACGACCGCGACGACCATCGGCACGCCTGGAAAGGATACGGGAAAAATGGGCACAACGCCCAGCAGCACGAATTGCCCAAAACCGAGAGCGGTCGCTGCTGGGCAGGCGATGGTGTGGCCCCATATGGGCAGAGCGTCCGTGGCGACGTCGGCAGCGATTCCTGCCCAAAATGGGCAGGAGCTGCTGTCGGTATTCGTCTCCGTTCTTGCCATACCCCAGATCGGATAACAAGGGGGGGGGCGACTACCTTCCGACGGAGCGTCGCCACCCCCCCGGCCCCCGCTCTTCAAAGCGCGGCCAGGATGCTCAATCCCCCCCGCACCCCTCCGACAGGATCTCCCTATCCCCCTCCCCCCCCGTGCCGTATTCCGCCCAAACAACATCCATCCCCCCTCGCATGGCTGCTTCGTGTGATGACCCTGGCGTTGGTTTAACCTTGAACTATATCTGAATCTTTCGAATCGCCATGACGCTTGATAGTTGGCCGATTCAGACTCACTGGCGGCGTTCAACCTTGAACTCCCGCGCTGGGGTCGCCGCCGCGTCGGCCCGACACGACCACGACCGCGCCCATTTCGATCAGACCGAGACCACGACGAACGACGACGACGACGACGACCACGAAAACGACGACGAAGACGAAGACGACGACAACGGCGACCGGGCGACGGCGGCGGGGAGACGGCGGCGGAGGCGAGGGCGGCGGCAGGGGACGGTCCTGTCCGCGCGCCAGTGCTCGAGGCCGTGGACCGCGGGCAGTGGCTGGACCTTTCAGCGGCGGCCGTCGCCGTCGTCGTCGTCGTCGTCGTCGTCGCCGTCGTCGTGCGTCGTGCGTCGTCGTTGTCGTCGTCGTCGTCGCGGTTCTCGTCGTGGTGGTGGTGGTCGTCGTCGTGGAGGTGGTCGTCGTGGTCGTCGTCGTCGTCTTCGTGGTGGTCGTCGTCGTCGTCGTCGTCGTTCGTCGTCGTCGTCGTCGTCGTGTTGGTGGTGGTCTTCGTCGTCATCGTTCGTCGTCGTCGTCATCGTCATCGGGGTCGTCGTGGTTGTCCGCCGTCGTCGTCGTCGTCGTGGTTTTGGTCGTGATCGTGGTCATGGTCATGGTCATGGTCGTGGTTGTGGTCATGGTCGTCGTCGTGGTCGTCGTCTTCGTGGTCGTCGTCGTGGTGGTGGTCGTCACCTCCGTTGTCGTCGCGGCCGTCGATGGTGGGGGGGGGGAAAGACGGGGCCGAGGAAGAAGTGGAAGAGGACATTCTCATCCGTACATTGCATACGTATCTCCGTATAGTGGCTTGTTGCATGCACGAGCGTGTCGCTGCTTCCTGTGCGCTGCGCTGCAGGATTGCAAGTGTCAGGCATAGATCTGTCATGTATCCCGTGCGTCTCTCAAGCGCCCTACACATGGGACAGATATGGGGGAAGAGGGGAGCGACAGCGGCAAACGAGGGAAGAGGGCAGGATGGGGGGGGAGAGGGCAACGGGAGAGGGCCAAGCCAGGCGCGCTCGCGCCACATCTGACATTCTACCCCTCCCTCCCAGTCCTTCCCATTGCGCTGATTTGTTCTCTACAGGCGGATTATTGCGCACAGGACGCGCGACAGGACACAACCACAGGACGCAAGGGTACCCTGGCCTTCGGCCGCAGAGGACACGACGCGCGATGCACAGGACACAAGAGCACCCTTGATTTCGCAGGGCCGACCTACTAATGGAACCCGACTGTATCCGCGGACGCGCGTCATAGCGGAACTGGAGCTCCAAAACATACCCCATCGTGTTATACGCAATCGGAAAAAGGGGAATTGCGTACATAGGAGGGGGAGGAAGAGGAGGAGGAGAAGGAGAGGGAGGAGGAGGAGGAGATGCCGGGTGGGCAGGAGGATGAGACGGAGGAAAAGGAGGAACAGCAGCAGCAACAGCAGCAGGAACTGGAGCGACAAAAAACAGGAGGAGCAGGAGCACCAGGGGAAGGCGGAGGAGGTAACAAGAGGGGGGCGACAACGGTTCGTGAGGAAGGATTCGGATACAGACAGGCGGCTCGCGCAAGGACGAAAATGCCATTCTGAACGACGGGAGCGAAGCCCCGATACTAAAATGAGGCCCATCCGGGAACACGAGTATGCAAGTACCGGAAACTTTCGGATCGGAACACACGAACCTAATTCCCCAAACGGCGCTTGCACCTAGAGATTCTTACTTCTCTTCTGTAGACCCAAGCCTGGGTGGCGGTCTGGCGACTCCATGCTCCCCGTCGCCGCCTCGTCGCCGCCTCGTCGCTGCCCGTCGTCTGGGCCTGGGTGTCGGTCAGGCGGTTCCGTGCTCGCCGTCGCCAGCCCGTCGTCGCTGTCGCCGTCACGCCGCCGCCTCGCATCGATTCTCCTCTTTTGTATAAGGAAAAGAGATATACCACCACCGCCACACCCTTGGATCATCCGTTCGCCTTTTTGTATTGCACTTTGCGTATGATTCTGCCTCATCGTTCCTTCTAAATATGAACCCATGCCATCCCAGGCAAGCCGGGCCCCCCCTCCCTTGAGCCGCCCTTGTTTGAAGCACCCCCCCCCCCTCCCCCCTTTTTTTTGCATGGGGGGGGGGGGCTTACAGCTACCCCCCCCTCCCCCCTTGGGCCCTCCCCGGAAGCTACCCCCGCCTCCCCCCTGTTCCAAAGGGGGGGGGGCTTGAGCTACCCCCCCCCTCCCTTGGCGCTGCCCTGCTGGAAGCTACCCCCCCCTCCCCCCCTTTCGTGCAAAGGGGGGGGGTGCTAGGAAGCTACCCCCCCCCCTTTGGACGCCCCGGAAGCTACCCCCCCCTACCCCCCTTTCCAAAGGGAGGGGGGTGCTTAAGCTACCCCCCCCCCCTCCCTTGGAGCCCCCCTGCTGGAAGCTCCCCCCCCCCCCCCCCTTTGTGCCAAAAAGGGGGGGGGGGGGGCTTGGAAGCCCCCCCCCTTCCCCCCTTTGGCCGCCCAGCCCCCGGAGCCTCCGCCCTCCCTTTCGCCGACGATCCAAAATGAACAATCCACGATCGAGGATGGACGATCGACGATCAACGATCGACGATCGAAAATCCCAATCGAATCGCTTGCAATCGATTGCACTCCATTCCACTGCAATCCCCCTCCCCACCTCCCTCCGCTCCCTCCCCTCCCTCCACACCCTTCGTTCCATCTCCTCCCTCCCCTCCCTCTCCTCCCCTCCCTCCCTTCCGTCCTGTCCCTCCCCTGCAATCCAATCGATTGAATCGATTGCAATTCAACCGATTGCAATCCAATCGATTGCAATCCAATGGATTGCAATCGAATTGCTTGCAATCCAATGGATTGCAATCGATTGCAACGCAAGTGTATCATTCAACTCGTCCCGTGCCAACGCCCGGGAACGAAAAATTACCCTGGCGACGTACCCAACCCCGGCGCAAACGCGGGGCGCTAATAGTTTAGGACACTTTATAAAGGGGGGCGATGACGGAGCGATGGTTACATATGTCTGCAGACGGAATTCGGGAGACTCGCAGGACACTGGCTTCGGGACGAGGACTAGATAAAGCTGATTAGTTGCAATCCCTGAGCAACCCTAGCCACTTCGAAAGCGGGGATTTCAGATCGCAGCCCCCCAGGGATGGCGAGGTCTAATTTGGGTCCACGCGTGGCGTCACTGTGCTGGGCCCCCCAGCAGGCCTCGAAAGTGGCGACAGTTTCACAGATCGCAGCCCCCCAGGGATGGCGAGGTCTAATTTGGGTCCGCCGTGGCGTCACTGTGCTGGGCCCCCCAGCAGGCCTCGAAAGTGGCGACAGCTGATCGCAGCCCCCCAGGGATGGCGAGGTCAGCAGCCCCCAGCCTCGAAAGTGGCGACAGTTTCACAGATCGCAGCCCCCCAGGGATGGCGAGGTCTAATTTGAATCCGCCCGTGGCGTCACTGTGCTGGGCCCCCCAGCAGGCCTCGAAAGTGGCGACAGTTTCACAGATCGCAGCCCCCCAGGGATGGCGAGGTCTAATTTGGTCCGCGCGTGGCGTCACTGTGCTGGGCCCCCCAGCAGGCCTCGAAAGTGGCGACAGTTTCACAGATCGCAGCCCCCCAGGGATGGCGAGGTCTAATTTGGGTCCGCCCGTGGCGTCACTGTGCTGGGCCCCCCAGCAGGCCTCGAAAGTGGCGACAGTTTCACAGATCGCAGCCCCCCAGGGATGGCAAGGTCTAATTTGGGTCCGCCCGTGGCGTCACTGTGCTGGGCCCCCCAGCAAGCCTCGAAAGTGGCGACAGTTTCACAGATCGCAGCCCCCCGCAGGCAAGACAGGAGGAGGCAAGAGGGAGACGGGACGGGAAGGAGGAAGTGGAGACCACACTGCTCTATTCAAAACGAATACCCAACCAAGGAGGGTTGGGAAAAATACGATTCCCCCCCGAAAGTTGCACGAAGTGTAATTCGGAGAACGCCAGCCCGTCGGGTTTGGCAGTGTTCGTGTAAGACGGCGGCCAGCTGGGGGAGGAGGAGGCGGAGGATGGGGGAGGCGGAGGGGAAGGCGAAGGGGGAGGAGGAGGAGGAGGAGGAGGAGGAGGAGGAGGAGGAGGAGGAGGAAGGCGGAAGATATGGAGGAGGGGGAGGGGGGTGGAGGAGAAGAAGGAGGAAAAAGAGGAGGAGGAGGTGAGGTAGGAGGATTGGGGGAGGAGGAGAAAGTAGAGGCAGGAGTAGGAGGAGGAGGGAGGAGGAGGAGGAGGAGGAGAGAGGAAGGGAGGAGGACGAGGAGGATGTGGAGGAGGAGGAGGAGGAGGAGGAGGAGGAGGAGGCGGAGGAGGATAGGGAGGAGGAGGAAGAGGAGGAGGATGGGGAAACGAAGGAGGGGTAACGAGGAGGAGGAGGAAGAGGATGATGTGATGATGATGATGATGATGATGCTGATGATGATGATGATGATGGTGATGATTGATGATGATGATGATGAGAGGAGGAGGAGGAGGAGAGGAGGAGGAGGAGGAGGAGGAGGAGGGGGAGGAGGGAAAAATGGAGGAGGAGGAGGGGAGGAGGAGAAACCGAGGAGGAGGAGGAGGAACGGAACGGAAGGACCCGCGGGGGAAGTACGATGATGATGATGATGATGATGATGATGATGATGATGATGATGATGACGATGATGACTATGAGGAGGATGAGGAGGACGAGGAAGAGGAGGAGGCAAAAGGAAGAAGAGGAGGAGGGAGAGGGGCGGGAATAAATGGAGGCGAAAGGGAGGGCGATGGCTCCGGGAGCTGGGCGGCCAAAGGGGGGAAGGGGGGGGGGCTTCAAGCCCCCCCCCCCTTGCACCAAGGAGGGAGGGGGGGGGGCTTCCAAAGCCCCCCCCCCCTTTCAAAGGGGGGGGGGTGGCTCACCCAGCTCCATTAAAAGGAGGGAGGGGGGGGTAGCTTGGAAGCCCCCCCCCCCTTTCCGGCACGAAAAGGGAGGGGGGGGGGGTAGCTTCCGAACCCCCCCACCCTTTCAAAGGGGGGGGGTGGCTCACCCCTGGTCAGTTTAAAGGGAGGCAGGGGGGGGTAGCTTGAAGCCCCCCCCTCCCCTTTCTGGACCACGAAAAGGGGGGGAGGGGGGGGGGCTTCCGAAGCCCCCCCCCTTTAGCAAGGAAGGGGGGAAGGGGGGTAGCTTCAAGCTGGGCCCCCCCTTCTAGTCCGTCGGGCCCCACGAGCGCGTTCTATCATATATATATATATATATACATATACACACAAGATATTGTTGGATCGCTTCGCTTCGCCACAACATCTTGTCCCTCATCCTCATCCTTGGCGCAGGA